GTCAAGGCCAGGTTGAAGGAGCCGTGACTGCAGGGAAGTGTAGGACCCGTCACAGCAGTGGGGACAGCAGGGAGGGTGCAGGCATTGGGTGTTCCCTGCATTGGGTCAGTGGGTGAGGAGGGAGACACACAATGCACGCATGGGCCAAGCCCCTTGAGATCTCCTCCTTCTCTTCCAGTGAGAGCACTTCCAACCTCAAAGCCTTGTTTGACTTCGTCCGGACATCCCTGACTCCCGCCGACAGCGACTCCTGGAAGGGCCCTGTGCTGCTGGTGGACGACCTCAGCGTCCTGCTCAGCCTGGGTGCCGCACCGGTGGCGGTGCTGGACTTCATCCACTACTGCAGAGTCGTGGTGTGCTCCCAACTGAAGGTACTGCTCCCTCCACGTGCAGCGTCCTGTATGCTACGTGTACAAAAGAGCTTCTGGAGCAAAGCCTGGCTTTCTTTTCTTTTTCCACCTGTGCATGAGGAGGTTTTGGAAGGCTTTGGCTGTCCAAGAAGTTAAAAATCATAGCTCTAGGGCCACCCTCGGAGAGTTGTGTTAGTCCCTGGAGTACCTTTGCCACTGGTTTCCCAGGAGGTGCTGCCCAGAGAAGGGCTCTCTCTCTCCCTGACACGTGAGCAGGGTTTCGACGTGTAAAATCCTGTTTCTCAGAGTTCCTGGCTCTCCAGAGATCTCTACTCACACCCATGTTGTGTGTGTGGGCAGGGAAGGAAACACGTTACGAAGGTAGCGAGGGGCTGATGAGTCTCACAGGAGACAGAGATGAAGGTCTCCCACTTGGAGGGGACGCGAGTCTCTGCTTCCACCGATCTTCAGCGTTGCTGTGTGTCGCACCGGCTGGTTTCTAAGGGCGTGTGACGATACAGCACTTGTACAAAGATCTCCCCAGCGATGTGCTAACTTCTGAGGGCATCGCAGCCAAAAATCGTTACAGTCACGTCCATCCTCTGCTATTTACATGGCAGTGTCCCCCGCCCTGGCCACTTCTCTCTGCTTGAGTGAGAAATAAAGTAGACGGTGTCAGGTTTTGTTATCCTGCACTTCATATGGTGCCAGGGTGTTTGTGCTGTAAATGCTGACAGGGGATGTTCTGCTTGCTGAGAATATTTACCTCCAAAACAGCTAAAAAAGATGATAAATCGTGCTAACACATTTCTATTTCTGTATAAGATGTTCTGAAGCTTTAAAGAACATTTTAATTGATTGGGAATTTCATGCTGTTTTAAGTCCTTGGTGACCTGCATGGGCTGAGGCAGAGACTCTTGGGATGTGTTTTTAATAGAGCTGGTGTTGCGTTGGGGAGCTCTGCGCTTCTTGTGAGAGCTGTGAAGGTTTGAGCATCACGGCTCTGGCTGCGGCCGCTCGGCCACGGCTTTATTTAGCTGTTCTGAATTAATTCAGAGAGCTGCCGCTTGTGTGGCCTGACAGACTGGTTTATAACTAGATAGCTGTCTCGTAACAAAGGCTTGATGCATTTTTAGGCTGCACATTATATATGTGTGTGTATGTAAATACAATATATATACAGCAAGCTGTTTCAGAGTTTTATAGATGTATCTGCTGTTTATTTTCCCAGTGGACTTTAGCTCAGAACCAGCTGCCGTGCTGGGGGATTGCTAAGTAGCTTAGTTAGCCGGGCATTTGCGCAAGCGCCCGTTGCTATCTCCCCTTCCTTACCCTGAGCGGATTGGGAATCAGCCAGGGGCTTATTGCTGCCGGGTGCTCCCGTTCCAGGGGAACATCGTGGTGCTGGTTCACAGCAACGAGGATTCAGAAGACGAGGAAAACGAACTGGTTGTAAACTCCCTGTGTCATCACAGTGACCTGATCCTGTGGGTAGAGGGGCTGGCAACCGGCTTCTGCAAGGATGTTCATGGGCAGGTAAGGCATGGGAGAGCACGGAGAGGTGGCACACCTTAATGTCACGCACGACAGGCCCAAGAGTAGGCGAGATGCTCCTCTGCCCCGGGGGAGATGGCTCAGGACCAGCCTGGTCTGTGGCACGTCTAAGGACCAACGAGCAGCCTTACTGCGGTCACCAGGATCTGCTGGAGCACCCGGCCTCTTACGGCTGTGACTCTCCTTCCGTGGGGATATTTGGGGACATCCTGCAGCCCGGGGACTCCCCCATCCCTGGAAGCTGGACAGGGTTTATACAGTGGCTGCAGGGCAGGCTGTCTCCTGCCCCAAGCTGATGGTAAAGAAAAATACCTAGTTCCTGGGAAGCTTCCCCAAAGTGTCCTGTCGGTGGATCTCAGCCTGACCTGCCACCATCTCTTCTGGGCTGGGACGGTGGCTGGGTCG